TAAATTGACCGGTGGACGCATAACCCGAAGGTTCGAGTAACAACTAGAACGGACGTTAATAATGTGCTGCAACGGAACGGTTACGAGCAAGCGAAGTGGTAATGAGGCAGGCAGTGGCCATGCGATTGACAAGAAATCAATGAGAACAAGATGCCATTCAACTAATCACAATTGAATAGGACACTTACGAACACCAATGCCATCAGCGATGTGGTATGTGCACTGCACATGCACAGCACAGCATACATATGTACATAGCTATTTTAAATGCTTATCTTTACCTTTTTCACATTTACACTTCTATGTCCAACTTATCTTGCTTCCACTTAAATACTTACATATGTAGATTGTATGTACGTTTGTATCTTCACACAGGCCACATAACCCCATCACGTACCTGGTATCTGTATTACGATACGGATAATTTCCAACGTGAGCTCGAGGATGTCGTTTGGGAAATAATGCCACTGTACCAGGAATTGCACGCCTATCTACTCAAATGTGTGCGCAACACCTATGGTGAGAAATTAAATGCCGATGATGGTGCCATACCGGCGCATGTATTGGAGCAAATTGTACGGCAAGCTTGGTCACCTCGTACGGTGTTCCGCACACCATTTCCCAAGAATCAATTGCCAACGGTGCAGCAACGTCTGGAGGAGATACTTGTGACATCATTGAAGATCATTAAGAAGGCGGCAGAGTTCTTTGAGTCAATCGGACTGAATCACATGTCAGAGTAAGTAGTGTTAAAATTAGAATTGAAGGCTGTAGCTATGGACTCTGGTAAAAGTAACATTTTACATTAGTCTCCACAATAGCAAATGTCGAGCTTAAATACTATATGCAATACGAACCCGTTAAGATATGCTTATATCATTGAGATAGGTATAATGATATACTATGGGTATTCTTGTAAACTTGCAAATGCTTCGTAACCGAGTAAAGCTCGTAAAAACTGATTTCCCATGCAAACTTAAGTAATTTTACGAGGTTTACGTGGTTACGAGTGGTTTACGCTTTTAGACGAATTGCTCTAATATTAACAAGCCAACTACATAAAAGTAAATTAGGTCAAACGATTACTTTAGTCGAGCATCTGGGCAATATAATAAATAATTTAGAGGAAGCTATGACAAAAGCTTTTGAGAGCTCAACTCCAAAAAGTATAGCTCGTAATAAAACGCCGCTGTGTTGGAATGGAGAACTCAGAACTCGGAAAGACAAGTTTGGAAAACTCTTTAATGAAAGCTATAAGGGCCTTGTAAAAGTGCCATAAGGTCGTAGCAATAGAACTAAGGAAAGCTTCGGCAAAATCCCGACAATCCTACTGTTCGGCCATAGAAAGTTCCAAGGAAAGAAGAAAGTGGAAGGCTCAGAAAATTTATGTTCAAAATTTATACCAACTTAATGCGACTAAATAAATAAATAATGTTGTGTGGATAAACTCAGTCAAAAATCGCTTGGAGATACTAGGCAAAACACACCTCCCGGGCAGCATTTCAGATACAACCGCTTCAGGTTCCACTAGTTTCGAACTCACAAACAGTAGATTGTTGGACTCATGTATGCTATAAGCAGCTTTCACCCTACAAATCCACAGGGACGGATGGCATAATTTCGGCAACGCTACAGAGGAAGAAAACAGAACTAATACTTCAATTAAGCTCTATATTTAAAGCCACCATCATTTTAAGTTACATTCATTCCTAAGCCAAATAAAAAGAATCACTTTTACTTAATACAACGAAAAGACTCCTAGTAATCTATATAAGATCGCTATTAGAGAAATAGACCCTCTCGAATGCACAACACGTGTACACTAAGGAGCGATCCACGGAAACCGCTCTAAACGAAGTGGTGAGTCTCGTGGGCCATTCTTGACACTGAAGGCGCATTTAAAGATATCAAAGCCAACACTATTGCAGACTCCCTACAGAAACTAGGAGTTGATGACAGTGGCTGGAGATGGATACGATCGATGCTAGACTGCTAGATCGGACTTCGTCCATAACCCACCATGTGAGTAGAGGCACCCCACTGGCAGGCATTTTCGCACCATTTCTTTGGCTAATAGCGCTGAATGTCATTCGGAAAGATCTTAAAAAAGGGGCGGAAAAGTAATGTACGCCGATGAGTTTGCACTAGCAGTTATGGGAACTTTCCTCTCAACTGTAAGCGAAATACTCGGAGGAGCACTTGTCTGGATTCCCGGCAGGAGCCTACTTGGAGGAATCCGAGACTATTGCACTGGGATGCCCCCTCCGAGTCGTTCAAAGAGAAACTTTTTTTTTTGACTAGCAAGGAAAACGTGGTCAGATATACAGATATGCAAAATAGCCAGGAAACTCTGGTCTGACTATTTATAACAGGACAAAGACACTAGACCTGCATCATAGATCAAGGCAGAGCTATTTAGAGTTGTAGCAACCATTACGGGCCACTGGCCCATAGGCAAACATGGAGATAGAATGGGGCTCCCATAGAGTGGAACTTGCCACAGGCGTCAACTAGAAGGTAGCGAAGAAAGTGTACAGAATTTCCTGAGGGAATGCACAGGTCTAGCGGCTGTTAGGCATAAAGTACTCGGAAGACACATACATACAAACAAAACTCTCATTTATATCAGGATCTAACATAAGTGATATCGGCAAATTCATCAGGGAATCAAGATAGTTTGACCGAGAAATCTAGATATACATATGTATATAGGTATTTTGCATTCCCACGCTGAACACGATTCTGGAGTCCAAAAGTTCCCATTAAGCCTTGGTTTTGAGAAAAGTTGATTAACTTTTCGGGATTTTCCGAGTGCTTTCATGGTAAATAATACAGTAAACACATTAAAATCATATATTTCTACACATTTTCTGCTAAAAATATGTTTAAAAAATTGTTGGGCTAAAAAAACATACAGAAATAAATATTATATATTTTTCTTTCTCAAAATATAAATTTTACAGGTTTCATTAGGTTCCACCTGTGCGATATGGTTCATATTTGAAATGTATATTACCTACATGAAAAGTAATAACTTCACAAAAATTTTACCCGATAGGTAGCGCAGAGGCCGAGATATTTGGAAAATATGTACCTTTGGTCGGACCTACATATATTACATAAATAGATTTAAATGACTCCATAAATCATTTAGCCGTTAAGTGGTGCGGGTTCGATTTTTTTATTAACCACTAAAAAAGCTTGTCTTGAAAACATTTTTTTTTATATTGCTTTTGTGTTTTATTATGAAATGAACGGAATCTGCTCTAGTTAACCGTAATATTAAATGTTTGTGCGCTCATATATCTGCGATTCGTCAATAACTTTTAAGAACTAAGGAATACTATTTCCCTAAAAGGGTCTATTATGATGGTTCAATAATACCTTCACACTTTTTATGCCTCAAACTTTTAGACTAACTAATTTCATTTTTGTATCTCTTCTTTCTTCCCAGTTCATTCTACGAACGCTTTTCACGTCGCATTGGCGATGAAGAACTCGGACCCGATTGTCGCGCCGAGGTATTTTACTTTCCACCCCATGCCGCTCTGCGCTATTGCCCCAAATTGGATTATAAGAAACTTATGCAAATACATGGAAATATGGCAGAACTGCAATACAATCTCTATCGTGGACAATTGCCTTTCGGTGTGGACAGTGAACCATGTCCAGGTTTTGCTAGTGCTATAGGCGAGGCAGCTGTTATTGCCTCGGGCACACCGCGACATCTCAATCGGCTGCATATACTCTTCAATCACAGCCTAAATGAGGAGCAATCGATGAATCGGCTATTCCGCATGGTGAATGGAGCTCAAGACAAATCTTTATAGGAGTAACATTTTTTTTTTCATATTTTATTTCACCTTTGTTCAGGGCATTCACACGATTTTAGCCATACCGCAGTACTTCATTAACGACAAGTTTCTGGTTGATGTTATGGATGGTCACATTAGTGCACAGGACTTGAATTGCGCATACTGGAGTTTGCAGAATAAATATGCTGGTGTAGTGCCACCGATGCGACGCAATGAGAAAACTTTTGATCCGGACTTCAAGTTCTATCATGGGTTGAACCCTGAGAAGCCAAGCACAGTGTGAGTATTTGAATATCAAAGGGTGGAGTATGTATTCGGGACGGATATACATTTTTAAATGTGAATGCCGGTTTGAGAATAAGTTCTAAACTTGTCTCACTATTTAGAGTACTGATTACTCTGCATTCTCAGAAGGTTCTCCTCGGAGTTACTTAATCATTTACTTAGGAGCTGAAAAGAATCTCAGATTGCTGTCCACTGGCGGAAGTCAAAGCGAATGAGGCAATTAAAGAAATTCATAACTCCTTGAAGGAAGAGCTCGGAAATAACTTAGCCGAGAAGGTCTGGGAACTCTTACAGGCTACCTGAAAGGACACTGGAAACAACTCCAGAGCATATTCCATTTGACGGTCTAACTTAAAATAAAGAAAAAATTAGAGTTGCCACCTGTTTGAAAGTTGCAGTTAAGGTAATTTATAATGAGAGAAATTAAGAATTGCAATATGGCTATTAAAAACAGGCTTAAGAAGGCTTACTGCTGAAAAAATTTGTGGTACGTTGCCACCTGTTGGAAAATTTTAATTTAATTTAATTAATAAGATAAATTAAATATTGCAATATGCGTATCAAACTAAAGAGGTTTAGACAAATTTTTTCGCGATGGGTTGCCACCTTTTAGAAAAATTGTATCTATTTAAATTGAGAAAACGAATTAAAATTTCACATTTCTGGTTTTAAACTAAAGAGGTTTATGAAAATTTACTAACGAACACATTTTTTAGGGAAGCAGGTTGCCACCTGTTTGAAAAATTGAATTTTGTTGAATTAATAAGATGAGGTTAAAGCTGAATTAGTACTCCTTTGAAGAAAGTGCGCGATATGTAGACTCGAGTTTTGAGATTATAAATTAAATTTCCTGCAGAAAACCGATCACCTACTGCCTATCTAAATACCCACATTCACAAAAAATAAAGAATGCTTCATAAATCGAAAATTTCTCTAAAAATAAATCTGTTTAAATATATTATATTTATATTATTATATATATTCTGAATGAGGCCATAAAATACTTTCAAGGCGCAGTGAAGCACGGCTCGTATTAGCTAGTAACTAATAGAAATGCGGGTTGCCACCTACCTAAAAAATCAAATTCAACTTGAACTAAGGGAATTAGGTAACTGAATTGTGCACCACAATATGAATGTCCGACGAAAGTGGTTTAAGAAGATTTTATTTCAAATATATTTTGAAGTCACACAAAAACATGAAAATTTCTTATGTTTTTGCCTAAGTTTAATTTTAGAGTTTTATTGAAATAAATTGTACCAAATAAAATACGCAGAAATTCCATGCACTCAGCGAAGCTGATGAGCGCAAAGCAAAGACTATTACAAAAAAGAAAATTATACAAATTCAAATACAGTAATGCCCATCAGCGCGCGAAACGCATCCAAGTAAAACCGTCAGCGACGTGTTGCGCCAAAAATCGCTTGGCCAAATGCAAACAGATAAATTTTTATGCACAGACTCTGAAGTGCATTTCGCGTGTGTCAAGAACAGTTGGCACGCATCGCGGCCATCGCTTTAAATACATGCCCACACATACACACGCACACACACATAGAGATTTATTTACTGACGGCCAGTTTTTGGCTGCTGCCATTGGCCAATGGCCATCAACGACCAAACGTCAGCACAGCGATTTAGAAGTTTACGTAGCTTAGTTTTTGCAAAAATCCACATAGGCCTCATATCTCAACTCTACTTATGTATATGTATACATATGTATTTATCTTCACTTTTTCACGTTTCGTTAACAGGAAATTGCTTTCGGA